GTGACTCTTAGATTGCAGTATGTAATCCTCTTGTTTAGATTATGTAGAGAGAGCCTCAAAGATATTAACCCTTAATCAACATGCTCAGTAGCCAAACTGAGTGTATATTTTGAGTAAAAAGAAAAAGGGATTTAGGGCTGAGGGAAAAAAAAAGTGTGTGCATGATGCAAGAAAGCAGTAAATAGTGTCCATAGGGCGTAGTGTTCCCTTGCCCATTAGCAGTTAGGGTTTGTATTATTTGAAATAAAATTTTAAAGAATAGTTTCTTTAAAAAACCCCCAATATTTCAGTGCTTCTTCACCACCTGTTTTTCTTTTTCATGTAGGCTTGCAAATTAGATCAAGAAAGTACTAGTATTTTGCTTTTGACATTGCCTCTGGTTGTGAAAACTTCTCAGAGCTTCAGATTAATACCATCACTTCACTTTGTGTAATTACCATCCCATCCCTTCCTACACCAAGATCACACAACTTGTTTAGTTGAAATTTGGGTTGTTTTTGGCCACACAGACATAGTTTCTTCTGGCTTTTAAAGACAAGAGGTTGCTAGTCCTTGAAACTTCCAGTTTTTCAGTATTTGAAGGATTTATAGCTGTACAACACTTTAAAATCTTCTTCAGCTTGTGAAAAATTTTACTTCTAATGAGGAAAGAGGGTGATGGTGGCATCCCATCCTGCTGCAAGTCTGTCAGTGCCTCTGCTCTGTGACTTCTTTACTGTCCCTGCTTAGTTTCATTATGCTTGCTCTGCATAATACTCATAGAAACATTTATGTCAACACTGTTCTTTTAATTCAGTAGCCTTTATGTTTGTTTTCTTTGTTTTCCTGATATACTTCTAGGTGATGAGCAGATTTACTTCCAGTCTTTATTATTTTTAGACTGCCTAGGTGTACAATATTGATAAGAATATAAAATAGGCTTCTATTATAGAAGGATTTTTGTTTTACAGGGGCAGAAGCATAACATTGAGGCACTGTTGACGTGGGATGCAGTCCTGTAATTGTTGCAGAAATAGGCAGCCTCTCAGCCAACCCCAAGCCTAATCTTGTTTCATCTTCATCCTCTGTTGGGATCTCCCTGGCATTGTAATCCTTTTTCCCAGCCATCATCGACATTTTTTCCTTCAAGGGGAAAGATGCAAAGCTAAGTGTAGTGAATTCTCGGTTCCCTGTTACCGGGAGATTGGCAAACACCTGTTTACCAAATGCAGTTAGCAGCTTAGTAGCAAGAGGAACTGGAAACTCAGGTTAGGGTAGGTGGTATGCCTTGCAGATAAATCAGCATCTGAAATCTGAGTAAATTAGGCAATGGACTGTCTACCTGAGGACTTGGACACAGCTTATTTCTTTTTTTCTATGTATATTATGCTTTGTGTATGCTAGGAGTAGAGTTAAAAAAAAACCACAAAACCCAACCAATCAACCAAAGAAAAACACAAAATCCCTCTAGCATTTTAGATGTAATGCAGTTGAACAGTAGGAGGAAAAAAAAAAAAACCTGTGCAAATAACCATAGTTTGTAAGTTACAAAAGTATATTTAAACTATTTTTTTAATGTATTATTATAACTAGATTGCAGATCTTGGTTTCTTGTGGAGAATTTGAGTTTTCTTGCCACAGAATTGATTGCATGTGTTGCTCCTTTGTATTCCATATCAGTGGCCTCCAAAGTGGGGTGTGCAAGACCATCCATTGTGGTGCAGGAAGAAAATATTAGGACTTATGTCTTAAAAATAAGAAATAAATGAAGCTCTATTTAATATATGTATTGACACTGGCACCCTCACTTGGTCCGTATGTCATATGGTCCTGTGTCATGTATGGTTCAAGAGGTGTCTTGAGGGCAGATTTGGTGTTCCACAACGTGGTGGGGTAACAGTGGAACCTTCACTTGTTCTTTTGCTTTCAGTGTATTGCAGTGTATGCAGTTTATGTGTGCCTGGTTAGGTGGAATTATGGATAATATTATCCCGTTTTAACTAAACCAACTCTCACAAAGTGGACAAATGGCTTAAAAAAACTCCTGCAAACAGACCGTGGATTGAAGATAATACTAATAATGTGAGCACAAGTGAACAACAAGAATGTTGCAGAACTGATGCTTCTCCTACTCCTAGTATGAGCTCCTGGTCAGCTGCATTATGAGATTAAAATGAAGGCAATTAGATCTGACAAGATGTTGGCCAAAAAAATGGTGTTTAACAAGAAGGCTATTTGAAATATGGATGTACATCCACTATCATTAATGATGATCCTCACCCTAAGATAATTTTGTACCTTAAGGTATCAGCTAATGATAGTATGAAACCATCATGACTGTCAAGGCATTTAAAAGCTCAGCGTCTAGATCGTGAAGTCAAACCTCTACGGTTTTTTCAGCGATGTTTAAAGTCATGTGATTCTCAGTCCAGTTCTTCACAAGATTTCAGTAAACTTAATGATAGATCTGCAGAAGCCTCTTTCAGTGCTTCTCAATAGCAAGAGACTTAGAAGCCACATTCCATTGGGGAAACACTTGATCTTCGTGCTGCAGTAAAAGTGTCTGAAATAATAACTGGAAAACTGTACGGTGGCAAACTAAACTGTGTTCCCTTGTCACCAGGTACTGTTGGGTGATATCTGGAAAACATTGCTAAAGATTTGAAGAAACAAATATTAGAACAAATTACACAGTGTGGGAGGCTTGCTATACAGCTGGATGAAAGTACAGATGTTTGTAATGTGGCTCAGCTTACAGTACTTGCTAGATTCTGTGTCGGTAATGAAATGCACAAAGAACTAAGTCACTAAGGAGATATATACCAGAGAAGATACATTCTTAACAGTAAATGACTTCTTTAAGAACAACTTTTTTTTTTTTTTTTTTTAAATGGAAAAATATGTGCAAATATAACCACTGATGGAGTGGCTACTTTGACTGAAGTAAAAAAAGATTCTGGCATAAAGTTACAAGGAGAGCATCACACATGGAATTCATTCACTGAATCATGCATAGGCAGACAACAAGGAAGTTGGAGCCAGAAGTCAACGAAGTGCGGCAGGATGTCATCAGTGTGGTTAATTGTGTGAAAACAAGACCCTTAAATAATAGAATCTTTACAATAATTTGTGGTGACACGGGGACTTAACACAATTCTTTTGTACCATATAGAGGTTCACTGGTTATCATGGGGAAAGTGCTTAGAAGAGTTGTAAAACTTAAAGATTACTTACACTTTTTTCTTCCACAGAAAGACGAGTGTTCTGAATTTACTGACCTCTTTCTGTGATGACAAGTAGCTGTCAGCAGTATGCTGACTAACAGATATTTTTAAAAAAATGAGACACTTGACACGTCCCTTCAAGGTGAAGGTGACATTTTAACAATGAGCCAGCAGGTGACTGCTTTTCAAGAGAAACTCATGCTATGGAAAGAACATTTTGAAAATGGGTGTTTGGAAGTGTTTCCATCTTTGTTGTGATTTGTTGCCAGAAAAGGTGTGTGTCATCTATAAAAGCTCTCATATCTGTACACTTAAACTTGGAAACAGAATTTCTTCACATCTTCCAGATGAAGAGTTTCAGGGGGTTTTAAACCCATTTATTAAAAATATAAAAATGCAACACCTTCCATTAGTTTGCAGTACAACTGATTGACATCAGAGAAGATGGAAATTTACTGGCCAAATTTCAAGAAAAACCTTTGTATAATTAGTGAATGGGAATGAAAATGAGTATCATGATTTAGTAAGTGCAGCCAGTGATGCTTTTTCATTTGGATGTACATATCTTGGTAAATTGTCTAGCTATGATAGACATTCAAACCAAGTATTGAAGTAAACTGAATTTAGACAAGACCTTCAAATCACTGTGTTACAAACTGTTAATCCAACATTTAAAAAAAAAAGATGAAGCATAGTCAATCACATGGCTCTTACAAAAAATAAAAAAGGAGACCAAAAAGGGGTTTTGTGCAATTAATATGAAAAAATATTTAAAAATACTCTTTATTTCATCTTTATCTCATCCTTTTTAATTTCTATTTTTATAAATTTTATAATGCACATAATATATCAGTAGAGTAGTACTCATACATAATTTGTAAATAAATACACATGTATTGGGAGTGCGTGCTCAAAAATTTTTTACTGATATAGGTGCATGATCAAAAAGGTTTGGTGACAACTGTTCCATATTATTATCAATACCAATTAATTTTCACAGAAATAAATATATGGAAGTTCATACAGAACTTCATCCAAAGTATATTTTAAATGTACACTTTCTTTTCTCATGAAAAATAGATGTCTGATGGAAACGTAGACTATTTTACTTCTAGCTTTGTTTCAGGAATCAGTAATCTAGGAGGACAGGAGTGATGTTGTCTGCGTGTGCTTTGAGTGGTGTTTTCTGCACATGCTTCAAGTGCTGGCATGCCCCAGTTAAGATCAGAGCCACACTGCTGTAGTCACCGACAGATAAGATTGGGTGGTCTTTGTAAAGTGCTTACTGTCTCAGTAGATAAGGGGAGTGATTTGTGGGTGGACAACAATGGTATAGAAAGCTGATTGCAAATCTAGGGATAGAATTAAAATGTTCTTTCTCCGAATCACTTGTGTTACTGCTTGAGCGTATTATTTTGGGGACAGCTTGATTTTTCAGGCATTTAAATGTTTCAGAGATTTTGTTCATTTGAAGTGTTTGGTGCTTAGCTTGTCTGAAGTCAGACCATAAGCATGCCCTCTAGAGACAGGAATATTGATACATCACAACTGACTTTTTTTTTTCCTGCCCTACACAGTTGTTCTAAGCTATGTAAATGTATGCATTACTGAAGTGTCTTAGCATCCTCAAAGGTAACATGGGATGAATATCCAAATCATTGGGTTTTTTTAACTGGTGTTCTGGCATACCTAACTAACATTTATTAACTTGCTGATTAGTTTAAAATTGTATTTAATAGTTGTATCTAACATGCAGAGATAAGTACTTTCTAATAAGCTACTTGTGTACTTGTTTTTAGGCTAAAGCCTAAACCTCTGACATGGCCACAGCCTCACCAAGATCTGATACAAGTGACAATCATAATGGAAGATTACAGATGCAAGTAACAGGCAAGTAGTGATTTTGATTTTTACAAGAAAAATACCTATTCTAAAAAAGCAATCTTTGAAATGAGTGTAAAAAATGGATCAGTGTAGGTAAATATTTTAATTAATAACTTTAATGTGGCTGTTAAGAGTGTGACTATAATATATGTGGATGGATTGAAGCTTTTTAGAGGTTATACAGTGAGTTGGATGATAGGGTTTAATGATCTCTGCAAATTAAAAAAAAAAGAGATTCAATAAAACAGTAGAGACAAATGTAAGGAATTTTGCTTGGGAACAAATAATTAATGGCAGAAATTCTGCGTAGAGAACATATATTATTGAAATTATACAAAAAAGATGGGTGGTTGTAGTGACCCCAGGGTGATAAGGGATGCAGTGTTACAGTGAAGCTGGAGAAGAATTGAAGGAGATTGCAAAATCTACTAGCCCATATCGAGGGAACATCTTTTGCGAATAACATAGGTGTTCTGTATTATCCTTAGGACAGCAGTTTGGATTACGCAGCTGTATGGAATAATTTAGATTAGAAGGGACCTTTGGAGATTTCCTAGTCTACTCCTCTGCTGAAGGCAGGGGTATCTTTGAAGTTGGATCAGGTTGCTCAGGGTATTGTCCAGTTGAATTTTCAGCGTCTCAAAGGCTGTAGGTATACAGCTGTCCTGGACAGCCTGTTCTGGTGGTAAACCACATCACTGTGAAAATGTTTTTCCTTTTGTCCAGTTAGAATTTACTATGTTGCATCTTGTGACTGTTTACTTTTTTCCTTTTGCTATGCTGGTTCTCATGGTTTGAGGCAGTATTCAGCCGTGCCAGTGTCTGCTGGAAGGGAAACACAGCTGCTACAAGCAATTCTGGAAATTTCAGATTGTGTTGGGGACACTTTTTTCAATAGATGTTGAACAGGCCAAGTACGTTATGCATTTTGCTACTCATGGATAAGAACTGGTCAGGGATGTGACAATTAGTGTCAGTTTTAGCTGCTCTTTCTGTGGGATAGCAGAGCAGAAAAAAGACTTATTGTAGTTTGAAGATACACAAAATGGATCTAGGTAAACAAGTCTGATAGCTAATTATGATAGTGGTATAGTAGCTAAAAGCGAAAATGTTACCAGCTAGTGAGGTATTGTGCATAAATATATATCCATGTAAATGTATGTGTGTGTATGTATGTATATAAGTATTACTTATATACATACAAGTGCCGTTGGTAAAGAACTTGAGGAATGGAACTTGAGGAATCTAGGAACCCTGAAGTAAGAATGAATGCATGACCAAGAATATATTGAGGTTATCTTGAACAAAATTGGGAAAAAACATGAGTAGGATACCATGTCTTTAAAAGAGTTGCATCTCAAGAAAGATAGATGTTCCAAAGGTGGCTGGGTTATCTCAGACAAAATACGTCCCCAAAATGGATTTTATCAAATTAGATAAGAGAGGAACCTTAAAACTTATTAACCTTGTGTAAGGATCACATAACTTGATAATGTGATGAATCATCAAAACTGGCAATAACTAACAGCACAGATGCAGCCATCTGTACAAATGAGCTGTAACTTCAGATCTGTGTATGCAATAATGATCATGTTGATAACCTGTCCTGTACTACTCCATATGTAAATAGTCTTGTATTTTTCTGGCACTGGAGCTTCTCTTGACTTCAAGACATCTGGTTCAAGGATCAAAGTGGGAAGAAATCTGTACAGTTTTTAGGATTAATTTTCTGAAGGTTTGGTTCTCTAACCAGTCTTTGTTGCAAGATCAAAGGAATGCCCGTGGCAGTACAGGGACAGAAGTGGGAGACAGAGGAGTGTGGGACTGTAGTATTGCTGGCCTACACTGGTTTATGCTCAGATTAGTTTATGCTGCTGTAGAATCTAGCCTTACATTTCAAGAACTTTTATAAAGGCAGCAAGTAGCATCTACTCATTTTGTAGACAAGGAAATTCATATGGAGTAGAAAGTGACTTGTTTGAATTTGGACAGTTACAGCATGTTGCAGACAAGTTTTGCCATCAGTATTTTTTCAAATATACTTGGCAAGATATCTTGTCTTGTTAGTTCTTTTTCAGGTGTTTTCCTAGTATTTGTTACTTCCTTCTAATTTTTTAAAAAGAAGCCCTAGTTAAAAAATGATAGTGGTCTCCTTTCATGTTTGGGGACTCAAAAATTAATGATTTAAAACAATCAGATAAAAGGGGGGGAGCTAAAAGGAAGCTTGAATATTATGACTAAATACCTATGTTTAACGAGTGTAGCAGTTGCTTTTAGAAAGCAAAATATGGAGGGGAAAAAATGTGTAAGAAAGAGAGGTTGTTAAAGCTTAAAAATACATCATGTTTTCACATGAAAAAATATGAGCCCATGTGTGGAATTACATTTTTAGTCCTCTACATTTAATCTTTCATCATTATCAAGGCTGCAGTTCTCTTTTACAACACATGATGCATGACTTAGGTTGGACTTTTAAAATGTGAAGGAGTTAAGTGTGCACCTTTTAATTGAAATTAAACAAAAGTCCATGGCTGATACCTTTAGAATCTTGGAATATTGCATCCCACAAACTTTTAAGTAACTAGTGTATATGTCTCAGAATACTGTAATCCAGAAATACGTGACAGACCTTTTTTGTGTCCCTTTCAGACAGTTTAGTTAACTTCCACTTATTTTTGAGTTAGCGAGTACCATACAGAAAAGTAACAGGGAAGGATTATTTCAAAGTGGCTAAAAATACTCAGCTTTGCTTTAGTTTGAAAATGAAGGAAAAGAGGATCACACTGAAGTATGGGAGGAATGAGAGAGAATGCATGGCCAGCAGGTAGGTACAGCTGTGAGTCCATCGATGTGTTTTCTGAAGACAACATCTGCCTGTAATAGAATTTAAAATGCTGGCATTTGAGCTGCTGTTAGTTTTTATAGTAACTTCCTCGGCTGGGTGAGAAAGTAGGAGAACAGATTTTATGTTCAGGAGCACTGAGAACCTCACCGGTGATGTGGAGGTAAAAAAATCACTTCTTTGGTCATTTTCCGTTTCTTAATTGTTGAATATTTAGCTGAAACTTTTAAGTTCGTCTGCAAAGCTGTTTAAATAGGGGAAATACAGGCAAGGAAATGAAGCTCTGTACACAGGCTTTGCTATACAGGGACATTTTGAAATAAGACTGAATGAACTGCCTGTGCTTTCATAACTACATATAATTTAAAAAAAATCTGCCTGATAATCTCTTGGATGTATCATACTTAGATATTTTCCAGTTAAGGCAAGAGTAGGAAGAACAATGAGAAAATAAACAAAATAACCCACATGATTTTCAGTGTTTATCCCTAAAATAATTGTTGTGCTGTCTCTCCAACCCATCCTGCCAGTATGTGGGGAAGAGAATATGTCACACTTGGTTTCAACTCTCTAACAAAGTAGCTTTTGAAAATAAAAGCTACCATTTTAGCATTGACCTGTTTATGTTCATCAGAAGTAGAAAAGGTGAGGAATAACATTGCCATGCTGTGTTTCATAAATTGTGTAGGCAGTACATATTCTGTTTTTCAGCAGCAGTATGCTGTTATAGATAAAGAAATGTATTTTATTAGTTTCTAGTGCCAAACTGAAACGGAAAAAGAATTGGTTTGGAACAACTTTCTACACGGAATTAAGTGCAGATGGAGAAATTAAGAAAACAGCAAAATCAAGTAACTCTTCAAATCCAAAATGGGATGAGCAGCTGACAGTGTAAGTAGATTTTTTTTGTTGTTTAATACTATTTATTAGGCAGACATTGCAGGAAAATATTTACTAAGCTTGGCTGCCTATGTAGTTTTCTCTGGCTGTTGATGACTAAATGCTGACCTAAGATGATATTTATCTCAAATGTATTATTTTTTCTCAATTCTTACAACGTTTTGAGAATATTTTTTGTACCGAGTGTTCCCTGCCTACAGTTGCTATGCATGGTACACTCTTGATATTCGTTAGCACTGTGGACCATTCAAGTTTAAGATTCCTCTGTAGAAGATGTTGCTAATTGTAAGTAACCATGTCATTCTCAACCTTAAATGAAAAAAAAATCTCAGCTGTATAAGTAGTAGTTATGAAGAAGGTCACTTTTTCCTTTAAATTTTCTAGTGAAAGGATACACACACAAAAACAGTTTACTGCAAAGTGACCTTGCAACTTATCCTAGTATTTGACCTTTTTATCTTCTTGTGGTTTAACTTGGTTCAACTGTGCTACAGAAGTAGGTGTACCTCAGTATGACTCTGTGACGAACTGGTGATCTTACAATGTGCAATTGGCTAGAATGCATTATTATACAAGCAAGATTGTAGTGCTTCAGATTTCAGTCTGGAAACAGCATAGCTACTATCAAGTGGCACTGAGCATGGGCCACTATTTTACAGCTCCTGACCTGTCTTTGTGCAATAGCCAGCTTTGTTAGTAGTAGGAACTACGCCAGGTTCCTATAACTTAGAACGCTGGAGAGTGGTACAGCATAGCTAGCTTTGGGGAATTGTTTGCTTGGGAACACTTACTTATTAACTAGAAATGTGGGCTGAAGCAAGTAGGATATTCCTGTGCCACGTTTCTCAGTGTTTCAGGTTTAGTAAAGGTTATTAGCCCATTGCAATATTGCAAAAGAGAATAATCTAGTCTTGGACCTGACGATGATTTCCAGGAGTTATTACTAGCACAAGTACAGAGCTGTCAGCATGCTCACAGAGAGAGTAGAGTTTCTTTTGATTTGGCAGGATTTGGTGAGCTGATGAAAATGAAATAATTTGGCATGCACAGTACAGCCAAACAGACTCATTCCATCATCAGTATTACTTAGGATCTTGCCCTTATGTATACAAGGTATTCTGGCCCCTTCTTCCTCTGGCTGTTGGAATGGTATCGTTGCTTCAGTTGCCCAGTCTATTTCAAGATAAGTGAACTCTCCAGTTTACCCATTTCCCCTCAGTTCTATGGGTCTGCATGAGCACCAGCAATATATTCTCCATGTGTAGGTGCTTTTTTTCTCTTCTTTGTTGAACTGTTCTATTAGCAAGACTTCTGTTAGAAGACAGCCTATTAAAAATGCAAAAATGCCCCTGGGTTTCAGCAAAAATTATCCATGTTGTCCAACACATTCAAGTGACTATAAAGCTAGCCCTGTTTTGGGGAAAGTGGGGGTTGTTTGTTTTTAGTATTGTTTTCATCAATGCTGATAAAACTCTGTATCCAGTACTGATGGATATGTGGCCTTTGACTTTTTGCAGTCAAGTGATACTACTCCATTTCTCACAACCAGGAGCACTCTTGCAGTACTAGACCCTCTACTACAAAACTCAGTCTCCCGGACCTAGCGTAGCTTCCTGTTTTCCTTCTTGAGCAGGGGAGAGATCAGTGCCAAAGGTTATCATAATATTACTGTAACTGGGTCCTTTACCTTTCTGCTTCCCTCCAATTTTTGCTTTAGCTTCGTCATTTGATTTTTCCCCTCTGATTTCTGTGAGTATGCATTATGATTTTATATATATTTGTGGATTCACAAATAATGCTTTATCAACACTTTCATAGCAAGCTGACACCTGTTAAATGGGTTCTTCCTGCTTGTAAGTAGCTGATTGGTTGCTTTTTCATTTAAAAAAATATTTAGTAGGCAAATATACTTACCACCTTTTTCTCCATATTTAATAATACGAGATTTTAGTTAGAATTCTGGAATAGTGAGGGATAAGGAAAAGTATTTCTTTCATAAATAAAGATACGTTTTATATAACTGAGATTTGATCTTAGTGTAGGTTAGTCTGATACTCCTCAAATTCCTTATGCTTATCATAGTAATGCACTTTAATCTTAGGTATAAATATTGTAGTGTTTACAGTTCTTAGTTAAAAATTTCCCCTTGCAGTACAAAAACTTCTTTCAGTTATTTAGTATCAAGAAATACAATAAATATGTGAAAGTAAATTAAGTTCAAAAACTCCTAATTACAAGAACAAATACTTTCAAATCTCTATATATTTTTTTATAAAAATGTATTTTATATGCAGGAATGTGACTCCACAGACTACGCTGGAATTTAGAGTGTGGAGCCATCACACTTTAAAAGCAGATGCTTTATTAGGAAGAGCCACTGTAGACTTGAGACAAGCTTTGGAAATACACAATAGAAAATGTAAGTGATCGTGAAGGATATTTTGAGTAAAGTAACATTATTATTACTAATCTATATATCAAACTGGCAATGTGACTACTAACTGTACATGTAATTACAACTGACTTCCAGTTGATTTCTTTTACTTGTCTCCTCTAGAGATGTCTGTGCTATTGAGAGCAATTTAAATGTAACAATGGGATGTAATAATTGTGAAACAAATGTTAGTGTATGAGTCACTAGAAATTAAGTAAAAGTGGAAGTGATTAAGGACAATGTTTTGTGGCAAACTAATAAATAATTTACTGGAAGATCTGTTTTAGACTTGGTAAAAAAAAAATGTCTGAACTTTCAGAAGAGTCATCTATCTAATTTTTCATGTTTTCCTTCTCTGGAATCACTAATAGAAAGGCTGGCTATTTTTCCCCTCATAATTTAGATGCCCAGAGAGCAATAGGAACCACTGATTAATGAAACAATTGGGAACTTCCTTTTAGTACATTAGAGATTGTTGTGTTCTATGTAACTTCTAATTGTAGTTGTCTTTAATAGAATTCAAACAGGTCTTCTTTATCTAATTAACTTTTAAAAATATATTTCATTAATACAAGAAGATGGTGAATCCACACTTTAAATTCCACTCCAGAGTGGCAGTAGTATTCCAGCTAATCCAATCTCTGACCGTTCTCACAAGTTAGATATACAAACCTGAGAGCTCTGTTTAGGGAGTTGGGGGGAAAGGGGAGCCCAAAAAAAGCTTAATTTTTCTGGTTCTTAGAGAAAATTGAAATAGAATCCAAAATATAATTTCTTCAGCAGTATGATAAAGATTTTACCTAAGATTCTGTAATTAAGCAGAAAAATGGCTTCTTTTTAAAAATAATAATAATAATAAAGCTGTATCAAAAGAAACTGGGTTGTAATAGTGATAGCAAAAAATAGTTAATGTTTTAACTATTTCTAACAAAATAGTTACTATTTTATTACTGTCAATCCAGGGGCTGTAGGATCCAACAACCTGGCAAATTTTTTCAGGGAATGGTTGGCTTGAGTTAGCTGTACATTGCACCAAAAGTAATTTATGTGCAGTGTTTCTAATCTGGGCAAGACAGCAGTTTGACACACACCAGATTATCCAATAATTTAGTGGTAGAAAAATCTGATTGGTAGCCTTCAGCCCTTCAGTTATTGATACCTCATCTAAAATATAGCACTTTGAAAGGCTCTTTAATGAAGAAAATGTAAAGGGGAGGTCCTCTAAATGCAGAAACTTTAGAATTAGTGCTGTTACTTTCTCCTGCTAAGCACCATCAGTAGTGAATTGCTGCCCACACCCCTCCAAGCTTTCTTGCCAGCTCAGTTGGTCTACAGCCAACTGTAGAACTGGTTTGGGGAGATAAAATGTCAGCAGCTAAACCAATCACCCTTGGCAAAAATGATGATTTATAAATATGCTAAATTAACAACTCAGTGGTAAGCTAGTTTCTTCTTTCTTTTCTTTCAGGTAGTACTATTTTCCAAAATGCAGGTTGCTACATCAGTAATTCTGTAGATTTGGGAGCTTTGTTCTTGCTCCAGCAATTTAAAGTACTTTGAAATTCATAGTATATCAGTGGGTGTCTACTAGTAAATACTGGCCAACTACACTATGAACCTGCTCTTTAAAGTAACTGCTTGGGCAATATCTGGCAATAGCTTATGGTAGCCTTCTCTGTTTTCATGTTTATTGTTCATTTATGATATAAGTTAAGAATGGAAAAAATAAGGAAGTGCTAGTTTAATTCATAGAAGTGCATAGTGAGCTTTAACTCTAGCTTGGAATGCTGTCGTATGGAGGGGAATAATGGTGATAGATCTTGAAAAAATTATCTTTTAATCTGAGACGGCAAATGCTAAAAGGCCTCGACTGTTTTAACCTGATTAATGTGAACTCATAGCTGACTGTGTTTGGATTTATGATATGTAGCTTGAACTGCTGTACTAGTACTAGCTGATTTAGAGAGAATTGTGCAGCATCCACAGCATGTTTTACCTCTGGATTATGTATCTCTCTACAAATGTGTGGATTGCTTATCAGACATACTGAATTCTTTTATTGCACCAGGTATGCATTTTTTTGTATATCTCAATTGTATCAAAGTTTCTTTTGGTGACAATAATTTCTAATTCAATTTTTGGTTACTTGAAGTATCCTCTCTGTTACTGTTTAATCCTTGGATTTGGGATCTCTAAAAATGTTAATAAGGATTTACTAAAAATAATTTTAAAAAAAATGGGGAAGGACTCTGTGGAGTCTTTGGATTTACTTCTTCCTCAAAGTGATGTTTTTTTCAATGGTCTCTGAGTTAGTTTTGGAAGGTGATATGAGAAATGAACATAAACTCTGGTTGTAGAATGAGGTTCCCCATGGCTTGTAAGATTTGGATCTGTAGTTTAGAAGTTGTTTGACTTTAAGCCTTCTCATGTTATGTAAGTAATGCATACCTTCAAAAGGGCTTAGTGGAAACAGCAAACCTGGGAAATATTAACAGCAAAGTACTGAAGCCATGTGGATCCTACCTATAGAATATACTATGTAAATGGCCAGTTGATTTTTACAATAAACTGTGCTTTTACCCTCAGCAGGTGTAAATTTACACAGCTCCCTGGTGATTTCTATGTTGTTTGGAACAATCTGAATACCTCTCATGTTCAGTTTTGTACAACTAAATACATGTATTACACTTTTTGTGTTGAAAGTATCTTTTAATGTTGTTTAGAATTTAATCTTTCTTTATCCCTTCTATCCTTCTCTCCCCCTACCCACCCTAACTCAATTTTTAGTGGAGAAGGTGAAAGAACAGTTGAAACTCTCTTTGGAAAACAAGAGTGGCATGGTGCAAACAGGTGAACTGACAGTTGTGCTAGATGGCTTGGTTGTTGAACAAGAATCCCTTACAAATCTCAGTTCATCAACAAACAGTAAGTTAAAATAATTAAATCAGATGGTAATATTTCAATTAAGATTTCAAACAGTAGAATATTTCTGTTGAATTTGTTTCTTACTGTTCAGTAGAAGTTCAGCAAAATGGCGAGGCTGTGCATGAAAGCAGAGATGCGTCAGGAAGAAGTACATCCAGGTTGGAATCTATTTTTGTGTTTTACACTATATGAAGCATATTAGCAAATTTATCAGTTGAAATATTTGAGTTGTTTATATTTTGTTTTGGTTTTTTAAATTATTTTGAATGGAATAGATTTTAACTGTCAAGCCCTAAATTATGTTACCATAGGTTTTAGAAACATTACTTGTATGATTACATAATTCAGCTTGAGAAGAATTAAATTTACAACACTCTTCTTCCTCTGCTGGTAGTCTGCTCTCCACTACTTTATCATTGCCTCTTGGATGCGTAGCCCTCTGAACATAAAAAATGCAACTGATTGGAAGTCCCCTAAATGCTGCAGCAAAGATTAGAGGGGCAATGGTTCAGTGTGTTTTTATGTACTTATTCAACTTTTTTTTCTTCTGCTGTTTAAGAGCCATTTCTATTAATGTCTACCAACTTGTTGCAACACACCATCTGAATGGAAGGAAGAAGAAAAAAAAGCCAAAATTACTTCCCCCTCACCCAGTTCCTTTTTAAGGTCATGATCAGGAAGTTGTTTAAGAGACTTGTATTGCATTTAGGAAGCAGTATTCAGAATGGGCAATGAGGCTGCCTGCTTCAGCAGAAGAAAAAGGCTTTTGGTCAATTTAGATCTTCATTCTTGGCTTCTCTATCTTTATACCAGCTCAAAGACTGCCTAGAGAGTAGTAGGAGTAGATTGTTTGCCCCCTTGCCACTAGTGAGTCAAGTAGGTCAACATTCAAATCAATTTAATGTTACTAGCCAAGTTACCTGGCAGTGAACCCATTTCCGTTTAAGTTCTTGACACACAATAGATTGAAAAAATACACAGTTGCTGTGCATTTGAGTGACAAGGACACATTTGTCCTTGTATGCTTGACTTGATTATTCTTTGAATATGTGGAGGTTTGTCTCTGTTCCACCATGGATACCTATGAGGAGGAAGGATAAAAAGTTGCTTCTCTTTAGTTTTCTTTAAAAAGGTTTGGGACTGTTAAAAGTGATTTGAAACAGATCTGCATACCATTTTGAAACAGCAGTAACAATCCTTTGTTTTTATTCAACTATTGTTGCTGGAGGTGTGGCTTTTACTGGGATCCTGCTTTTGATGTTGTTCTGATTACAGCAGTTTTCCTTACAACTGTCCAGCAGTTCTGATTTACAGTTTTAAAATTAAGAGATGAAGAAAAGTTTTAAGGTAGCTTCTGTGTATGTCTTTAGGAAACAAATCAGGTTTGTAGTCTAGAGTTCGAAAGGGATGTTACTTGAATTCTTTTTTTATACTACTTCTTTGGAGTTGGGTAAGGTAGCATGGAAATGCTGCTTCTTCCTTTGTTACTCTGCAAAGTGGGACTTTTAACAATTCTCACATTTTTTGTCATCTGTTTAACTTCTCTCTTGATTTTTAGACTACTCCTTGAGAAGATGGAGAGTTGGCAGGGAATGTAATTTTTACAATATGTGTCTCTGCTGGGTGGCTTTAAGCATTTTGGGGTAGTTTTAAGTAAAAACAGTGCAATTGAACAAGACTTTGCATTTGCAAGCCCTCACACTACATTTATTTCCATGTGGCCTTATAAAGACAGAGAGCTACCTGTGTATATCTGTCCTCACAATGTCTCATCCTGCCTATACAGAGGGAAGCTCATCCTATTTTCCTTTTACTGAGGGAGAGTTTTGTTACTATTTTATGTTCTAACTAGAATAATTTTTGGAGATATGACAAACAAACCTGTTTGTTCCACTTGCTTAATGAGAGAAAGTTTTCCCGCTCATAGCTGCACTTTGGAAGGGGTCCCTAAGGCAGTTTTGGATACTGATAGGCCTGCTGTAAGTCCCTATGGCAGGCGTATCAATATGCCCAACTCGATTCTAGTATGTCATTACCAGTAAAAGATAAAGTGGAAATGGAATATCTTATCTGTTTGAAGTAACTGAAATCCTCAAAACCAAAATTTGCCTTTTATTCCTTAGTTGTTGTGGTCTTGTGCTTGACTGTTTTCTAGGCTGCAAACACTGTGTTGTAAACTGATGTGAATTTACTTCCATTTCTATGTTTCTTCAGTGTGATTTAGTGTAGGATTTGGTTTAGCTGCATAACTGTTTGACGTGTTATGTTTTTTAGTAACCTGAAATGATCTTTTATTTTTACCAAGATCTGCTTGTGACATTTCTAATGGGATAGACAATCCAGTACCTTCCAACTCTGTAGTACAGAATACATTCTGTATAGAAGCTGTTAACGGAGACAGCACACCATCTCCTACTCACGTTGCAGCCAGACCCAAAAATACACCAGTACCAAAACCACCTGCAGCTCAGCCTGTCAACAGCACTGGTAAGAATGGGAGGGTTATGAAAACGTGATCCATAAGGCTTTTTTATCTGGTTGAAATGTATCTGAAGTTGAATCACTTTTTCTGTACGTTTTTTAATTAGATTTCAGAAATACTGAAAGGATGTTTCTAGGCTTGAATTTATAATCTTGAATGTCCACTTCTGTGAATTTTTCTGGAGTAGATCCATTCTGAAATGTGCTAGCTTTCATACTTGCCTGTCAGTTCTCTTCTCTGATGAAGAAAGATGTAAAGCATCCAAAACTTTAATTTCTCTGTCCCATGTTACTGATTGTCTAGAGGAAAAATCAGATTTCTTTCACAATTAATTTGAGTAATTAATTAAGTTTCTTTTGCCATTAGATAAATCTGATTTTTAGTGCTGTCAGGGAACTGCTGTGCTCTGACTTGACGTGAGTTGCAGACTCTCTTTGCCTTCCATTTTTTCAAAAGATACACTGTTTCCAAACATATCAGCAAATACTAAATTCCATTTTCCTCTTAAACACAAAGACTTTGATTATGACTACAGGTAATACTCAGTACAGTAAAAAAGGTGAAAAGAAAGCTTTTTAAATTTTTGTTCCTCTGGCAAAACTTTGCATCTAATAATGACTGTGCTTTCTAAGCACTTTCTGCCTTTTCTCAGCTATTTGAGAGAGATGACAGTGATAGCAGAGGAAAATATAACCTTGAATAGAAATAAGGAAGTTGTTAGATAGTAGAACAGAGACTGTCAAACTTTCTGTAATAGAGTGAGAAATGTGGGTGGGAAGACAGCAGCAGAAACAATTATGAACTTTAAAAGGTAATAATTAAATTAGGCCTCTGAAGCTTTTCTGTTTTGGGAACTTGAATTTGATTCCCCTCGCTTTTCAGTTGAAGGCCAGAGGGCATTTATATTATTTAAACATTGCTCTCTTTTTCTTCTATAGTGGAGAGATCCATTTGAAATCTGTATTAGTATAGGGTAATTACAAAAATAATTGATTTGCTCAAATAGTAATATTGATTAAATCATCACTGAGCTTGCACTGAGGCACTGATATCACAATTTTCAACTACTGTACCAGTTGGTGGAGACTTAAAGGTAAGGCATAAAACGGCTCTCCAGCATATGATGATGATAGAATTTTTTTTTCCCCTACTGTTGTGCTTAGCATGATTGTAATTTCATGTGATGTTGCCAGAATTGCTGTTTTAGATCTAATTGGTGAGGTAATTGGCTGATGTAATGTTTTATAGATCTGTTTTGGAGATCAGCTTACTAAAAGAGCTGATGATTTGTCAGTTATTTTGCTTTTAACTTCATTATGTAATGCCTTTCACTCTTTCATGTGGATGAATTGAATGCTTTTTTTAACGAAAGCTGTAATTTCAGTTGGCTTTCTTCCTGTTTAAGTGAAATTGTTACTAGTTAAAGCAGAAGTTTGAAGAAACTTGCTCAGATTGTCTGTAGTTATGATTTTTTTTTTTTTTTAATATGCTTTACATTTGCTTGGAATAATACAAAGTCTTGACATGTCTTGTATGAGCTGGAAGTAGTGATGTATTTCCCTGGAGTAGTTGTGTTCAAAAAGTAGTGCCTTTACAGATCCTACAAATCTGCTGCTGCCTGCAAAATCATACTTACCGTCATGCATATTAAGAAAATATTTGTGGCTCAGTGATAATTCCTTAAAGAAACTGGCTTGCTAATTTGAATACATTGCTAATGACTGTTATATTGTTTGTAATTCTTTGATCTGCTTTTCTGACCCTCTGGGAAAGCAGGAAATTGCTGATATTCTATAGATACTGCAAGTAGTAAGTAGAATCTAGCTATTTTTTTATTTGTAAGAGGGTTATACAGAATTACAGTAAATGAACTCTAAAATAATGGAACAGCATTTTATAGGCACTACTATAGGGTTAAATTTTTGCAAATCTCAATGAGAGTTATGAGACTTACGAGTATAGAACAGTTGTATTGGCCTCAGTCATTAGAATTGTTAGCTGATAGTATGCTGTTAAATAGAAAATTACTTGAAGTCTACGTTGCATATTATATTTAGTCTTGTAGAAAAACAGTTTCAACTTTAGAAGAGGTACAAACTGATGAGTTTAAATAGAATTCACACTGTCTGGTGTTGATTCGTGGTGCAGAAAATGAAAGCTGAGAATGATGTTGCACTGCTTTTAATAGGGCCTTGACTTTTAATGGGGGTCCTACAGACTGCTGTACCTCATTGCACTTATCTAAGGCAAGATCTTGTGCTGAGATGCTGTTCTGTTAAGCTCTGCAGATGATTCTACTGATGTATTGTTGGCCTAGTGGGCTTGGGACTAATAAAGCCTTCTTAGCCCTCTTTTCCTGCTAAATCTGTACCTGCTCTAAGCCTTCTATGAGATTATGCTTGCTTGAGTTGGATGACATTCGTATTGTTCTTTAAAATAGAGAAATTGATTTACTTTGTGATTCTAAAATAATTTTCTTCAGTCATTGAACTACATATGTTAGCCACATACTGATATTTATATTTTAATCCTGCATTTGGGGGGGATTTTTTTCCAAGTCAAACAGGTGGTTTTTGCTTAATTGTAGGGTTCTGTACCTCAACTCTGAAAAAGGAAAAAAAAAATAAAATCAATATGTGATTTGTGAGATATGCTATATGAGAACTGCCTCTTAGTTTTCCATATTTCATATAGTTATCTCTTGTCATACTCATTAAGATTTTTTTTTTTAAAGTCGATATAAGTTCAAAGTTTCAAAGCAAATAAAGCAGTACTGTTTTATGGGAAGCAGATGGGTATCTTTTGCTAAGCTAAAGAGTAAGGTGTAACATTGAGTTGACCAAGATATGCAGAAGCTCAGAAATTACCTTAGCAGGGAAGTATAGAGAATGGCTTCCAAACTGTAAGTTTTAATTAGAGTTTTAACTGAGGCAGGTGTATTGTGACTTCTTGTCGTCTTAGACAAAAATGCTGCTTATGGCATATAGATGCCACTTAAAGGTATTCATTCCATACTGTTTACTCCAAAAGTTGTCATTTGAAAAGTAAATCTCATCAGATTCTGATACACAAATGTTCTTATTTCCCATTTCTCAGTTAACGGCGAGTCATCCACCTCTGCACCAGAAGTTGGCAATTCTTCTGTCTCTGAGGTTCCGATAGGTTCAGCTGAAGCTCCCACGTCTTCAGATTGCACTAACGCTACAGCAGAACCTCAGTCAACAACAGAAGCAACTAGCTGTTCTGAAAGCCACGCTTCTACTTTACCTGTTGTGTCTGCTGGACTAGAACCTACAGCTGCAACAGACTGTGCTCAGCCTAATGCTAGAAACAGTACAACAACAGATGCAGCAAAACCAAGGGAATCCTCCACCTCAAATGCATCTGCAGAACCTGTAAGACAGCAGCCTGGTAATGCCAGTACAGAACCTTTGCCACCAGGGTACGTGGGCTTGATTTTAATACTATAATCATGTTTCATGTGAATGTGCATATAAAGAAACATATTTAATTCTATACTGGGGTTGCCAAATGCAGGTCAGTTGGCTGAATGGGGTTATTTGATCTAAAACGGGGTTTGCACTGCTGCTGTAACTGACTAGTAGCTCTTGTCCCAGAAAGTAACAGCTGAAAGAGAAGTGAAAATTAATAAAACAGTCTAGAAATATTTGTAAGTGCTTGCAGTGTAACTATGAGACCAATAATATTATAGATAAAAACACAGATATGAAGTGCCCATAATAGCTAAACTTTTAATTTTACTGGACTGTTAGAAGCTACTTCTGTAGTCCTGAACCTTAAATGTAAAATTAAAGATGTGTTTAGTCTTTAAATAAAAATATAGTACATGCTTAAAATATTTAATCTATTGACCTTAAATTTTTTTTTATAGATCCTTTTATGTTTAGGTGAAAATATGTCTTCAGTTACTAATTGGAAACACTGACATTTCTCTAATATTCTAAATATTAACTATTTTAGGATTTTTGGAACACAGAAATTGTTTCCCACCTGAAGTGTATATACCTTGTGCCATTGTAGCTGATGTGTCAGAGAGCCTGTCTTGTACATGCTCCCTCTGAAGGAGGTTCAGTAAGTTATTAGTGACACTTCACTTGAGTTTCTGCAGTTGGATAAGCATGAAAAAAAGCATCTAAAAAGACAGAAATATTGTATATATATTTTGGGGGAAGTTACAGAGTTTAATTTTCAGATGCTTTCACAAATGGAAGCTCTTTATAGGTGGGAATTCCTGTGGTCATCACCCTCCACAAACATCACACACTTTTTTTTTTTTTTTTTTTTTTTTTTTAATTATTACATTCTTTCCCATTGAGGACAGGGTCATGAGTTCCAGGCACAGTGCACACTGTGGTCAAATGTCCTTCTTCATCATTCCTCCCTGATCATGTTTCTGTGGGGGTTTTTTTGTGGTACTCCCCTCGGATCTAGTTCAGTCTTCCTTATGTTTAGTCCTAGTAGCTCTGTAACATGCTACTGCTTCTAATCTTATCTCTTTATAATCTTGGCATTTAACCCCTTGAACTGCAGAAAACATTCAGAGTTTTATAGGATACTCTGTAATTGAGAGGAAATGCACGACAAATCCTATGAGTAGCAGGAAAGGTGTTCTGCCTACGTTTTTAGGAGCTAATTAATGACGTATATAAGAAAACCAAGCATATATCTAATGCAAGCAAGGGCTTGAGGTTGTCATCTATGATTTTTCCTGGTTTCTTCTGCCATTTGTCAATACTTTTATTGCATTAGAGCAGTTCTCAGCAGTGTGGAACTTCAGTTAGTTTGTTCCTCTCTCCGTCTTCAATCTAAGTTTGCCTTGCAACTAAAACTGAAGAAATAATCCCCAGGAAATAGAAACACAGGAAAATTACCTGATAGCACGCATTTCAAGTTCGCTCTGAGAGATCCTGTTGTTTGTTGCATATAGGGAACAGTGCTTCAAGCTGTAAACTCCGTCTTTTTTTTCTTTTTTTTTTTTTTTTGAGAGGCACATACTTGGAAATGCACAGAATGCTGCATCTCTAAACACTTTTTGAATCAAGTTATTTTAGCATCGAAGCCTTGAGCAGATAATTAATTGGCTTTGTCTTCAGATATCTTAAATAGAATTTGAAAATGCTTGTGAATATTAGTGTACTCATTTTATGTACCAAGTCCCTTAAAGAAGTCTTTATGGTGATACCAGTTTAAATAGGAAGTAACTGATATGTATTCTGATGTAAGTTCTCTTTGGTGTTTTAGAATGGACCATAGTATTTTCATTCAGTACCAAGGTACTCTTTTGGCTTAGTGGGAAATAAGTCCTAAAGAAGCGTATTTACCTTGACTTACATGAAAGTCTTTTTGTCTTGAAGGTGGGAGCAAAGAAAGGATCCTCATGGTAGAACCTATTATGTTGATCACAACACACGAACTACAACATGGGAAAGACCACAGCCCTTACCTCCTGGGTAATGTAAACTTTTTTTTTTGGTTTAAATATGATAAAGTTACTCTTTGTTTTTTGTTTGTTTGGTGCAGGAAAAAGTAACACCTTTGATAAGCAGCTCATTGAAACTGTATCATACATGATATACTGAGAAATACTACCTTTCAGTTAATTTAGAATTATATTAATTACAGTTATAGGAATGTTGGTACTATATATGTCACTCGGTTTGATCACTTGTTCAAATATAGTTACTGAATTGTTTTGTTCTTCCTTTAAAACTTAAGCATTAAATAATGCATATTTGACACCTTTATTTAGGTGGCACCTCTAGATGTAGTGCACTGGTTCTAAACCTCAGGTTTCCAGGGGAAGTGTTTTCTGTGAAACCTGCTAACAGAGTTAAAAATGAGGTGACAGAGAGCTGAGTATGCTATTGCTTGAAGTCTGTGTTTGCTCAGTGTGGTTGTCCTTCTATTAATAAAATTGGAGAGTACTTTTGTATACTTTAGTAATTGAAATCATGCCTCTGACTCCAGTACTTCATGCAAGTACTGTCTAGGAATTTAGCATAAAGAGAAAGTTAGTTATGTAATATCACTGAAAAATTTAGCTGTTAACTTCTGTGTTTCTTGAAAGCTGGGAAAGAAGAGTTGATGATCGTGGGAGAGTTTACTATGTGGACCACAACACCAGGACAACAACGTGGCAGCGGCCAACAATGGAATCAGTCAGGAACTTTGAGCAATGGCAATCTCAACGGAATCAACTGCAGGGAGCTATGCAACAGTTTAACCAACGATACCTCTATTCGGTAACTTCTACATAAAGTTTAGAAATTAGTAGAGAAGTATGGATGTACTTCTTGTTTTTTAATGTTTTCTAAAGTGATTTTATAACTATTCAGTCATACGTGTTACAAGACTTTTGGCATCAGTAATTCAGATTCTGATTCTGTTGAAAAATGTTAACAAAAATTGTCCATAAAGGCAAAAAGTACTTCCTTCTGAGTCTGTTCCCTAACTTGAGCCTTTTGTACTGCATAATACTTAAGACTTTTAATGGCAGTAGTAAGAGGTAAAACTAAAGCAGTCCCTTAACTGAAGAGGAACATAAAAGCTGAGTTATGGGCATTTTGAATATTAAATGGCCTTCAGAGGTGTTATAGTGCTTAGGAGTCATTCATTAGTACAGGTGGCAGTTCTTTTACTTTGAGATAATTTTGAAGCTTATGCACCTGGTTCTATTCTGGCATTTCCTACATGGTTTTCCATTTCTCTGAAATAGTTGCTCACTTACTTCTGCCTGAAGAAAATATGAGTAGCTTCAAAGAAAATATTTATTGAGACAGGTTTTTCCATCTGTGACTGGATAAATACGATAGTTGCTTTTTCAGAGTTAAGAGAATGATGGTGCCTGCATGTCACTCTCACTAAACAGTCCGTTTTAGGAATTGTGATTAGTCTCTTAAAAAAAGGATCCAGTCCCAGAGACTTCCTAAGTGATATGTAGCAAAACTGAAGTGTTTTTCAGAAGAAATCATTGTATTACAAGTCTGAAACAGCTTCATTGGACCAGGACTCTATGCATCTGCAGACCTAAGTTTGCTTTGAATTTGATGGACTTTATTTGGGTAACCCTCTGAAGTAAAGGATGCTGCAGTTGTCCCGATCCGATGTCGGGGATCACTTAAATATCCCGATCCGATGTCGGGGAAGGTTTCGATATGATCCCAAGAGCGAGATTAAGACACAAACGAGGTCACATGCCGCACTCCCAGAACATCTTTTATTAGAAAAAGAAGAGTAGTAAAGAGAATAGCGATAGGACAGGATGGAACAAAAGATGGGAAATCAAGCAAGGAGTCGGGATAGGGCAGCAAGAATAGTCACCACCACGGGTCCAGCGGCGAGGCAACGGTGAGGGGTGGGTGAGGAGGTCTCAGTTGCTCGTTCCAGTGGTGATGCGGCGTGGTGAGGTGCGGTGCGGTGAGGCGGTTGTCCTCTGTCTCTTTCCTGTCTCTCTGCCGCCAACAGCTTACCCCTCTTGCCTGTGCCAGTCCTCCTTAAATACCCCTTCGAGGGCTGTAGTTTCCATAGCAATGGCACATCTCTTCATGCCCCCCAGCACTTGGGCAGAGACATGTCCGGGAAGAACACCCCTGTGGGCAGGGCGCCTTCACACAGCAGGGTTTCCAGAACCCGGTGGTCTTGTGACCATCCTTGCAAACGATCTTTGAGATAAGTCTATCACCCTGTGGCTCCAAGATATCTGGTGGTCTTGTGCTAACAATCTTTGAGACAAGTCCATAGTGCAGTTCCTCACAGCAGTATTCTACATTTAACAGTTCCCAGCTTCTCATTATCTAATTAGACATTATATCTCATCACTAGCAATAGCAGAAACATCACCACTAAATTTAGGATTTGCTTGTGAGACAGAATATACTCGAAGGAAGATAAAAGATAACTCAACTGTTTGCATCCCGTTTGCATCCCATTTGCATCTCTTTAGAATTATGTTTTCTAAATAATGTATGAGTTGCATATCTAGAACTCACATTTTATTGAGGGAAAAATATTTAAGTTATATTGAGAAAAGTGTGAAGTTTTGGGTGTTTTTTTTTTACTTTAGTACTGCTGAATACTTTTCATCTAGAATTGTTAAGGTCAAACTACAGCTAAACTTTCTTCCTCTGGTGACATACCAGGACTCTGCCTCTATAGCAGTTTATAAGTGAGATTGTAATTTATTTTTTGTGAAAAAGTGAATTAATACTTTTAATGAGTAAGGTAATGTTGCAGTTACCTTGAATGGTCAAAGCTAAACTGTGTGAAGGAAGAAAAATGGATAGGATATAGTTATTTTAGTTACTTTTATTTTTATCTGGATTACTATATTGTACTCCTTTTGATATTAAATCTGGCTCATCCCATGCCACTGCCTAGTGTTTCAGTGTGTTCTGTTAAATATACATTAGCCAGCAGCCACACACAAATCCTTGGACCCGTTAAGAAGATCGGAAATCTCTTAATCACGCCACTATTCAGTTCTTTGTCGGACGACATTTTTTGTTGTGTGCTATTTTTTAATGCTCATCACAGAGAAGCCTTTGCTTACAGGGTCATTGTGACTGTATAGTTTACAAAAGCAGAAAAGGCTAACTGCGTTTGCTGCTGAGATAATGATAATTCTCTGTTCACATTTAGGGTGAGGCAGCTTGATTTTGAGTATAACTTTTGCATTTTCTTCTGACCTTTGCTCTGTTTCTCAGGAAAAATACTGTACCTTTTTTGCCTGAATTTGCTGTTGGAAACTCTTAAGTGGATTTGAGATTTTTGGATTGCAAGTGCTATATAAAGCAGTATTAGTAGCAAGGTGATCCTTAAGAAACTCTTTCAAGAATGTAGATTGGTTCCCATATTCCCAAAATTCCATTATGCATGGGGGGGGGAGGGGAAAGCAATTTTAATGTCCCAAGAATTTTAGGGAGTGGATGCTTCTAGTTAGAGCATGGATCCTGCAGTCTAGGGGATTTCTACCTTTTATTTTTACCATGCTTTGTAGTTTGAGAGCTACTGGGGCACTTCTGCAAGTTTACAGTACACTATGAGCTTAGCATGTTTTTACATAATAGATTAATCTGGGGTTTTTTAGGGTTTTTTTTTGTTCCTTTTAACCTTACTGTGTGTTGCTATAATTTTAACCCTACGCATATTTTAATGAATGCAGCTGCATTTGCAAAGAATGACAAAGTCTGAAAATAGCCAAACATACAGGGAAGACATTGTGTATTGAGGAAGCAAAAAACCCTGTGTTGGCAGTAATCACTGTGCTTGGAAATGTTTATTATGGCAAAGCATGTTCTTAAGCAAGAACATTATGCTTATCTGCTTACACGTGCTTCTGCAAAAGTTCAATGAACTGTACATCTTTAAGACCACTGAATGTCTCTCAAGTTTGCTGTAAGAAGGGAAAGGGAGGGTACATTGTGTTGCAAACAATGGAGGCAAGTGCACAAATCATCTTATTATCACATAGTCTATGTTTCTTCACAAAAACAGACTAAAAATGGCATGATGTTTTTTCAGAATGGATAGTCTTCAGAGCTAGCTGTAGTCTTAAAACACATTGAGGAAAAAATACTAATAATATTTGGCCTAACTGAATGTCCTCTTTTTTTTAAATAGGCTTCGATGTTGTCAGCAGAAAATGATCCACTTGGGCCTTTACCACCAGGCTGGGGTAAGCTAATTAGCTGTTGATTTCAGCAAGTGACAGTTACAGAAATTTGGAATGCAGTTGTTGTATAGTGGGTTTTTTTCTTTTTTTCCTCTAGAAAGGAGAGTGGATTCAAATGATAGGGTGTATTTTGTAAATCATAACACAAAGACAACACAGTGGGAAGACCCTCGAACTCAAGGGTAGGTGTGTATGTAGACATTGCAGTTAAAAAGATCTTGCTTAATTCTTGTATGTCATGATATGGGGGGAAAAAGTACTGTCTGCAATTTCTTCTGCAGTTTACAAAATGAGGACCCTCTTCCAGAGGGCTGGGAAATCAGATATACCAGAGAAGGTGTCAGATACTTTGTTGACCATAATACAAGAACCACCACTTTCAATGACCCTCGTACTGGGAAATCTTCTGTGTAAGTGAGAAATTAAATGTATTTTTTAATGTTTTAACTTGTTATAGTAATGATGAAGTCTTCTCATCCTGGAAAACAATCTATACTTTTATGTGTAATTGAGCACTAAATTATGATCAAATTGTTGCCCTGTAAATTGAATCTATTTTTAAGTTTTAATTGTCAATTTATCTATGACACACTTTACTGCACTGCTCTAAGGTTCGGTAGTTTTTTATACACTTTTCAAATACCAAGATTGTAATTGTTTTATAAATAGAGAGGAGAAGTGAGGTGAACTTGAATATTCAAGTAATGTAACTAATAGTTAATTTTTTAAAGAAACAGCAAATGATTGTAATGATCAATGCTTACAGTTATACACCCTCTAGCAACATCAATGTCTAAACAAAGTAGTTCTAGGTACTTTACAAAAATTTTACATGCAAATGTTTTTTTTAAGATGGTTTAATCAGAAGTACTTACTCAGCCTATGGTGGCTGTCTTAATGTCTTTTATGTAGGGTAGAGTTTACTTCTGATGATGTGTTGATAACTTTTCATTCAAAGAGCCTATATAGAGTATTGTACTAGAAGTTCCATCGTAGTTCCACAAGCAGCTGAATGTATGAAGCCTAATTGAGCAGTCGCTTCTTTATCTGGCTTGTAATTTTTACAAGATTGATATGGATTTGAAATCCTCTAGATCTCTACTTTTCTCTCAAATTTAATAAATTGACTAGCATCTTAAATGAAAAAAAAAAAAAAGAGGGGGGCAGAAAGGTAGACTGGCTGACCAAACCATCAACTGCATTTTGTTTCTGATCATATCTTAGAATAACAATTTTTGTGTATTTTTGAAATCTACATGCTGTTGTTTAACATTGAAAGTACTGTTTGATGTCTGTAGGTTAATCTATCTCAAATATATTTCCTTACAGAAATAAAGGGCCACAGATTGCTTATGAGCGTAGCTTTAGGTGGAAACTTGCTCATTTCCGTTACTTATGTCAGGTACTGATAAAGTAATTATTTACTTTCTGAAACTATTTGAATTTACATTTATATGTGCTGCCTTTTAACGTTATTGCCTTATGATTACAGTCCAATGCACTGCCAAGTCATGTGAAAATCAATGTATCCAGACAGACTTTGTTTGAGGATTCCTTCCAGCAAGTAAGCCTGCAAGAGTTGTTGTGCTTGTTTATCAAGACAAAGCTTAAGAACAAAAACAGCCATAGCCAGTTCAGACTAATGGTCCTTCAGGCACAGTAATCCTCCTCTGGTGTTAACCAAAGGGAGATTCCTAGGGGACACTGTATCAACAGAAGTAATGTATATAATACTTCTACCAAATGATCTTTCAGCTCCTAACTGTTTGCAATTGAAATACTTCTTGAGCTTGATGTGGTTTCTGAGTATTTAATAATCCTCAAAGGACTTCTCTTCTGTGAGCTTGTCTGTGCGCCTCTTGTGAACTTTTTGCATCTACAGTATCTTGTGGTCAGGAGTTCCATAGCTTAACCACATTGCATAGCATATTAACTTAACCACATCAGATTTGCTTTTCTGATTCTTTTGTGTGGTTATATACATTACAAAATGTTGTTTTCACCAATTAAAACTGGTGTCCTACTTTGCCCATTGAACGTTAAATCTGTGTAATTGAAGCTTACAGTTCTTGGGCTCTTATGATCGGCAGCCAGTGTATGTTCCTTCCTTCTTTCTCTGTAGCAAGGAAAATTCTTGCTGCTGTCTCCACGTCAAAACTTCTTGGGAAGGATTCTCTATAAGTAAAAAGTATATTATTAATGAAAGTAAATTACACTTGTTTTGGATTAAATTACTTTTTAAAGTGATTTTCCTAAAACTAAAAATTTGTGAGGAAATGGCTTTTCACCTGTTTTCCTTTAATGACAATGAATACCTTAGGAAGAGTATAAAAACAGGGCAACCATATAGTGATACTTTCTAGATACGCTCTCCCACTTTGCTAGCAGTCTGCTTCTCAAGGATTTTAAGTCTGAATTGATATTTTTGTGTGCAGTTCATTCATTGCATGTTCTGTCTGTGTAAACATTTGACATATATGGCATTTCTGTATCAAATAAAATATGAATAAAAAGGAGCAACTGTATTGACTGCATAATTTATAACATTACAAATTTTGGGTTTTTTTGACAGATTATGGCATTAAAACCTTATGATTTGAGGAGAAGATTATATGTTATATTCAGAGGCGAAGAAGGATTGGATTATGGTGGCTTGGCAAGGTAAAAGAAAATTTGTTTATTTTTATTTTTCTAATAGCACTATAACCTTGATTTCATTCTGTTGGCAAAGAAACTGCTTGCTTTTGCAGTCTGACCCTGGTTACCTTTTTAGCTCCCCTTAAGGCATTAAGGAGGTGGAGCTGGCAGCACTGGCTATTGTTATGGGTTATAACCTTGCATTAGTAAAACTGTGATCTCAGTTGTTCAGTTCTTTGACAAAGATTGATGTTTAAATTAGATTTTTTTAATACCAGTTAGTTGCTGTAGATGGAGTTATTTCAGAAACTTTCTATCAGAAAGTTCCACTTTCCTGGAAGGTGGGGACTGTGAAAAAATGAAGTGTTTTGCTTATTTGGAAAAAAAACCCCAAACACCAGATTGGGGCCAATATGGACAGAAAGGACATAAATGAGATGAGTGTAGTACAGGCATGAGGCAACAGCAGATGAACAAGCTGTAGGCTGTGCAGGAATGTGAAACAGCTAGACAAAACTTTCTAGCATCAAAAGTGGAACTCTGAGGGAAAATCTGGTAACACGAAAACCATAGTGTGGTAGTTTGACCCTGAGTGGGACCACACGGTCCTGCATTCACTCCCCCCGCCCAGTGAGGTGGGAAGGGGATTTCAAAAAAGGGGGGACAGGATTAAGAATGAAGGACAGGGACAGCTCACTCACCAGTTGTGGTCACAGGCAAAACAGACTCAAACTTGGGGAAGACAAATCAGTTTAATTCGTTGCAAATCATCTGAGTAGACATAACAACCCCATCTTACAACACCTTCCCCCACCCCTCCTTTCTTCCTGGGCTCAAATCACTTTGCTCCCAATTTCTCTGACTTCCTCACCAGTGGCACAGGGGGCAGGGAATGGGTGTTCAGTCAGTTCACCTCTGCCTCTCTTCCCGGCATGAAAGTCCAGGAACAAGATGTTCCAGAGCTTCCCATGGAGTCATGGACCTCTTCAGGCTCAGCTCCAGGCTCCGGCATGGGGACATCCACGGGCTGCAGACTCACACCCCACTCTGGGGGTCCACCCCCGCTCTGGCATCAAACGACTCTTGGGGTCACAATTCCAGTCACACTTGCCCTCAGGCTCAGCTTCTCTGCTCCAGTGTGGAGTCCTCCATGGCCTATACGTGGGTCTCTGCTCCATCGTTGAATCTCCATGGGCTGCAGGGGACTTTGTCTTCTCCTACTCCATACGGAAGAACTGGGTGTGGGTCTCTGGCTTTCTTCCTCTTTTCTCTGGCAACGAAACTCCCTCTGTGTCAGTCTGTCCTTTGTTTAGGCCAGTGGTCGTCTTTTGTTTAGGTCAATGGCCTCTCCTCCAGGTTCACCCCCACCGACCTCTTTTCAGGACCATCCTTTCCCTCACAAATATGGATTCGCAGAGGTGTTTCTCTAGTGCTCATTGGCCCAGCCTGGGCTGGGGGGTTCTCTGCCTTGGAGTCAGGGGAGCTTTTCTCTCTCATGAGGTAGCCCTTTCCACACTACGAAAAGAACGCCGCCCCCCAAACCCAACACACATAGACAAAGTGGTTTCCATCTGTTGACCATATAGAAGACAACCACTGGCTACTGCTGCCGGTTACATGACTGAAATGTTACTATTAGGGTGAAAATGTCAGTACTGCTGCAGATCCAGGGAATTAGAAGTAGTCATGGGTGAGAGAATTTTTTTTTTTTTTAAATGTAAAGGTGTTTTGTTCTGGTTTTGTGTAGCTTACTGTGCTAGAATTAAGTTCAGTGAAAATGTGCTGTATTTGTAGGGTAGCTTGCCTCTGAAGGTTGAGCTGCTTTGGATATGCTTCCAAATTATAATATCTGATAAAGCTTTCGGTGGGTGACTGCAGGGAGGAATCCAATTTTTATTTGCATGATTTTTCTTTGGTTGGTGTCACTATCATGATGGCCCTAGGCATAGGAGGGGAACCAGGAGAGTTCAAGTAATCTGTTGCAGAGAAACAAAGTATTCCAAAGAAGTGATGTTGGAATAATTTACCTGAAGATTGTTAATCACAGAAAGTAGCAGAATAAAGAAATAAATGAAATGTAAGTAGTATAATTTCATAATTTTATTAATAAGTCTTGCAAAGATTTTGTATGTGAAGTTGAGAAGGAGCAAGACTCTCATTGCAACTTGAGCTGAGAATTCTTAAGTGACACTGAGTAAATGTTCATGTACTGACTTGCTATTGTAGTACTGCATTAATACAAATATGGAAAGCTGATGCACCTGATTTATCACCTGTCTGTCAGCAGGCTAAACTCAGTGTTCCCTCCAGATTTTTATCCTGTGT